AAGGAAAACTAAGCAAGGGGGAGCAGAACAGATCTTATTTTCAACATTTTTTTAAAAAATATGTCTTTCATTAATTTCAGAGAGAGGAAGGGAAAGGGAGAGAGAGAGAGAGAAACATCAATGATGAGAGCATTGATCGGCTGCCTCCTGCATGCCCCCGGCTGGGGATCTATCCCACAACCTGAGCATGTGCCCTGACCAGGAACTGAACTGAGATCTCCTGGATCATAGGTTGATGCCCAACTGCTGAGCCATGCCAGCTGGGCCTTATTTCCAGCATTTGAACTTATCTGAGGCTGCCTGAAGGACTGGTCTCTGTTTTGTCTAATTTGGACATCTGCTGGTGCTGCTCAGGAAAATTGAAGGGAGACTGACCCACAGACACCTGGGGTAAGAGATCATGGGTAGAGGCCCCAAGGAGAGACACGTTGGGATGTTAAGACATTCCTGTACACAGGAAAATTAAAAAAACCTACACATGGGCCCAGGCAAGCTGTGTGTTCAGTCAAGATCTAAAAAGACCTTAAGATTTCTCCTTGGGCTGACCCCAAAGCTTAGAACCAAGGCTCAGCTAATTAATGAAGAACTTCCTTGGCACAGAGCCAGTCTACAAAGACTGGGAAAGGTGGCTGTTTTTTTTCAAATGCCCACTGTTTAATAACAACAACAAAAATCACAAGGCATACAAAGAAAAGAAAAGACCCATTCCGAGGAAGAGAAAGTGGCAGAAACCAGCCAAAAGAAACATGGGTATCACACTTAAGAGACAAAAACTTTAAAATAACTGTCTGAAATATCTTATTATTAATATAAAATATTAATGCTTTAGTCACCATCATGCTTTTCCACACAGCATTATTTTTAACCAAGAAACTCATTTTATAGCAAATAAAGGCAGTAATGTGTTCATGCTCATGGGATTCACTGGTCCTACTATGTTGCCTATTACCCCAAAGTAGCTGATCTGATAGGAAGACTGAATAGCCTTTTTCTTTTTATTGTGATGAAAATGTACTATTTTAACCATTTAAAAGTGTACAATTCAGTGGCAATAAGTACATTCACAATGTTGTTTAATCATCACCACTATCTAGTTCCAGAAGTTTTTCATCATTTGAAAATGAAACCCCATACCCATTAAGCTGTATTCCCTGCTCTGCCCTCTTCCCAGCCCTTGGTAACCACTAACTGGCTATCTCTATGGTTTGCCTATCCTGGATATTTCATATAAATGAAATCATACAAGGCAAGGAACCACTATCAGCTAAGATGCTTGCTGAAGGCAAAGGAGATATGAAACAGGTAATGGAAGCGAGAGTAGTTATAAATAGTAATTATGACCATGTTGCCAGTTGCAGATACAAGGACTGTAATAAAGAGCATTTTTCCCTCATTTTGATATGAATATATTTGTTTGCTGTACTAGCCAATTATTCCCCCCTTGTTCCCCAAAAATGTGTTAATAGTGGGTAGTCTTTTATCTTGGTATTTAAGTTATAGGCTATCAAAGGGATACTGTGACTCATCAAGAAGAGGAATGCATATCCCTTACTCTCATCTTTTGAGAAAGGAAGGAGGTGTTATTGGTTGTATGAGAGATAGTTGCATCATATGAACATAAGCATGATTTTGCTATGGTCTTTATTTGAACACTAAATACAATTAAAAGTGTGTATGGATGATGTGAAGTTGACAAGAGTTGAACTGGGGTGGTTTTGTACTGTCAGTTTAGCTAAACTGGAACTGTATTTCCCAGAACGCTCTTTTATGACTTTGGTTTTGGTTGGCCATGATAGACATCTGCAGAAGACTTAAGTGGAAGTCAAGCACCAGCCATTATACTTGGAAGGTCCATGTAGGGTCCCAGGGACCATTGCAATTTAGCACATGATCTGTTGACTCACCTCATTGGCAAGAGCAGCAGGGCCTGCCCTCCTCCAGCTTCTGTCCTAGATAAGATATATGTGCAGCAACTCTCTCTATAAAATAGGATAGATATATATATCCTATTGGTTCTGTTTTTCTGGAGAACACTAGTACACTTCCCTATACAGAAGGACACAGAAAACAGTTGAAGTTCTGGTCTTGAGATACTCCATGGTGTGGTGGAAAGTCATGGCTCTGAGATCACACAAAACAGAGTTTGGTGGCATAAATGATTTATGGTCTTGGAACCTGATTCCTCATCTGTGGAACTGAGATCAAACGTTTACTTATGTAGCTGTTATGCAGGGTTAAGTTAAACATTGTATTGTAGACTACCTATTATTGCCTCACAGTGGGTGGATAGCAAATGTTAGTTTCCCACTCTGCTGAGGGGAGACGTGTTGTTTAGTGTCCTGAGGCTTATTAAATGATTTAATCAAACTGAGTCTCTTAGATATTAAATGTGATGTAGTTATTTGGCATACACTGTCTGATATCACACAATACCACCTTCTGGGCCATTAGCTGCATCGCAGAATTCAAACATTATTTGAGGTTAGTCCTGCCACTTATCTGTGTAAGGGGTAGAGTAAGTTATGTTTTCCTGAGCCTAGTTTCAATTTAAATACTATTATCTCAGGGTTGTTTTTCTTTTCTTCTTTGTTGATCGGAAGTAAATAGGATAAAGTGTTCAGCTTAATCTTAAGAATACAGTAGATGCTCAGTACATCCACTAGGTATCGAGAGAGTTTTAAGGTTTCAAAAATGAATTGGGTCAGTTGTTGCACTGAAGGGGAGCTTAGCATTTGGTGAAGACAAAATCCATGAAACCACAGTGGAGGTTATATTTAACAGTAGAGAGGCAGACAAGTAGAAAAATACCAAGGGAGGAGATAGAAAGTTTTAAGTGATATAAAGAAAGAGATGCCATGGAAAGATGATAAAAACATCTTGCAGACATTTGTTGATTTGTGGGATCATGAGCATTTAGTGCCTGCTCTCTTCAGCAGGGGCTATGCAGTACTTCCCACCTTGCCGTGGACAGTCATGGCTAACAAGTGGAAGGGTGGGTGCCCTGAGAGCAGAGCCAAATTAACAATTTTGCCAGCAGGGGAGAACTTGTTCACGCTGACGTCCTAGAGGTTGGAATGCATTTGGAACAATGGGTTGCAGCTGAAAAGCTTTGGCAGTTTAAGGAGAAATGTGACAAAGGAACCTGCAACTTACATATCCAGCTTTCAAGCCAGGTCAAGAGTTCTTTACATTCTCATGCTTTCTAAAAATCAAAGCCAACAAACGCCACTTGCGGTAAAAGGGCAAGCAGTCTCCTTTTTCCTTTGTCTTCTCAAAGTCATCCTTTCTCTCTCATTTTTTCCAGTGCACCCTTTTCCCCAGTCTCGGTGTTTTCCCTCCGCCCTTCCGCCCCCTCCTCGCTCCCGCACGACC